TCCGGTTCTAACCTGTGAAGGTGGCGCCTTGTCGCAGGTACCTTGAAGACGAAGCTGGAGCTATGGCGCCACAGGTAAGTCTCCCTGGCCTCCGCCAACCATCTCTCTCTCCACTACTACTCTAGCTCCTAATCGCGCCCAGCGCTGAAGACTAGTGCTAATGCTACTACTGCAGCGCTCCTCCAGAGTGCTGCTGCCGAATCTGGAGACTGCCTCCTGCCTCCTGCACGTGAAGTGCCTGGGAAGTTCCTAGGAACTACCTCGTGACTGTCTCCTGACCGCCTGTAGGGCGGGCCAGTCTTATATAGTGCTGGCCCGTCCAGGAGGCTGCTCTTGCCAATGCCAAAACGTGCCAGACCCTGGCGTTGAAGTTCAACCAAGGGTTGTCTTGAAAACAGGCCAAAAATGGCCTGTGCTAAAACCCTGATCTGGTGCTTAAGTTTCAGGGCAGGTCGATCTTATGAGGGCCTGAAAATGGCCCTCAGTTTCAGGCTGAAAAGACTCAGGGCCTGGAAGGCCCTGTTTTAGGCTGCAACGACATAGGGCCTGAAGGCCCTCGTTTTCAGGCTTTCAGGCTGAAACGACACAGGGCCTGTAAGCCCTTGTTTTCCGGCTTTTAGGCTGAAAACGCTGGTGGGGCCCTGCAGGCCCGTGTGGCTGCGCAGTATGCCACATCCTCCGTCCGGAATTTCAGGCATTCATATTCGGTTATTCGGAATGGAGTGCCGAACTCCATGACGGACTGGTACCTTCCCCAAGCCCCATTACTAAAACGGGGAAGAGGCTACACTGAGATACTTTTTTTTTTTTTTTTTGAAACACGCCCTCTCCAGTGTTAGTGTGCTGATAAGAGCAGACACCACTAGCACCTGGGGAGAGGCTCCATCTATTGGTGGGGAGCTGTCCACACAATCATTATCTGGCAAGTCCTGATCAGACACCATCGGTCCTTAATCCGCACAAAGAAAGTGCCAAGTCAGCCACGTGAGCTTGTTTCTACATGCGCGTGCATGTGTGGCCGACAATTCCCGGAGAATCGTTTGTAATGCGTACGCCCATATGCAGGAGCTAGGGAGTGGTGATGTGGCACCCACAGGCCGTGGGGGGGGATTACTATATTCAATCACACTTGTTTTCTATATGCAAAGACACATAAGCACACATGCGTTTGTTTCCATACAGATCAACCAGCATGTTAAGGGCAGGGATCATACATACAACCACAAAATTGAGAGGCAGAGGAAGAGATGCAAAAAGGGAGAAGAAGCACGATACCCGTTCTGTTGAGTCCAAATTTCCCCCCTCCCCCATAAAACACCCTTCTGGGTGCTAGGGGTGCTGATACGAGCAGTCACCACGAGCACCACAGGGGGGGGGGGGGTCCATCTATTGGTGGGGAGCAGCACCTGCTGGAAACTGGGTCCGGCGTCCCTTGTACAAAATCGCGTCCATATTTGGAAATCTTACAGTTGCCTGCCAGCATTGATTACCCTGGAAGCCCAGGTGATTGACTGCGCAGGATGCCTGGCCAAACCATGAATAACTAGTTCTTCCTTTGAAGCTGCCCATCAGTCCATCGGTTTAGTGACCAGGACTTGGGTACCATCTTCCCAGTAGCGTCTTAGGTAGACCGACCTGATGTGAAGGGCAGGCAGAGAGCTGATTGGTTGTGCACCCAGGGGGCAACTGGGGCAGACAGCCTGTATCTCCCACTGATCCATCCTGATAGGTCTCACCTAGGACTCTTACTGAGCGGGTTCCCCCCCTGTATCACGTCCATGCCAACTCAGTTCAGCCAAGGCGTTGTTGGGTGGGGGGAATAAATCTGGGAATTCAGAGGCAGGGGGGAGTGGGGTGTCGTTGGAGATTGCAGTCCACTCGTGGAAGATCAGTCAATAATTCTTCTGTAATGTGCTCAACCGATCGTTGTTATCCCGTTGCCAACCATCCCATTGGACCCTTGCATTCCATCCTCCCTGTTCCCCCCCCAGCCAGTTCATGCAGAATTCTTTTAGCTTCAGGATAATGTCTGATCTTTTGGTGAGGGATTGCATCACCTGTATCATCTTTTTCCACTGAGCTCCTATTGCTGTTTCAATCATGTCTTTATGACTCTTTAATCATTTCCATTATCTCGCCTCTTTCCATGTGGGCACCTTCCAGTACAAGAGTACATCTGCGATGCCGTATGGCCCATAGTACCACCTCCCTCCCAATCTTAAATAAGTTGGCCGCAAAGGCCGAGGTTTTCATGGTCCAATGCCCACTTAATAGGGCTCTCCATTCTCACGGCCAATCCCTATCGGTGTCTAGTTGGTTCCTGATCCGAACCTACCCCCGCCAAACCAGGATTGAAGCTGGACACTGTATGAAGAGGTGTTCTATCGTCTCGTTTGCCTTTCGGGAGGGAAAGCCCTCAAAGCAGGCCGAGCACCAAGGAAGGGCTAAGCCTTTCTGCTCTAGGTGAGTATGGTTGATGAGCCATGCATTTGTGGGCAGGCGGAGGTGGGCGATCTGCCATTGAAGTGAGGCAGTCTTGGCCGGTTTAGATTTCGCCTCCTTAAACCACTTTATTGGTCGCAGGACTTCTAATGGTACATTCAAATGTCTTGCCCAGCGATCCACTATACGGTCCCTCAGGTTGAGTTTAATCCTGAGCATCCGGTAGGTTGTTTTCACGCCCAGTGTGTGAAGGTAATGATATTTTGGTCTGTCGTTCCTCATTGGGATTTTCCATCTCCACTCAGCAGGATCCATGGGGAGCTCCTGAATTGGTATCTCCGGTCTGAATGCCACCCAAGAGTCCCCATCTTGGAGGACCCTCACTCTTTGGACTGCATCAACCTCAATCCAGTAAACTTCATCTGACACTCCCCTGATCAACTGGTTCAGTTGCGTTCGATGAAAAAGTTTACGAGCACCTCCCTTGCTCTAACCGTGAGCACTTCCCCCACTCGAGTTGCATCCCTTCTTAGTACCACCCAGTCCCCTTCCTCCACTGTTGGCCCCCGTCTAAGAGTCCTCAACCATGCAAGAGGGAGGGCAAAGAGGATCTGGTCCAACCTCTCCCTTATTTTTTGGCAGTGGGGGAGTTTCGCTTTTAGTTGGTCCTCTGGGACCCAGTCCTCCCTAGTTTTGTCCCATCATGACCTCGTTCCTTACCCATCCGTTCCACGAACAACTCGAGCTAAGAAAAACCCGCCCCTGTTGATCTACTATCCATCGGTTCCCAAACAGGGGTTGGCGAGCCACTTCCTCCCATCTTTCAGGGAATGGCCTGTCCGGGAGTGGGAGCGTCCTCCAGTCATTAATTAGCTTGGTCCAAAAGTCATCTTTTCGCAGGTCCATACGAGCTGCAGCCCGATCCGAGTGTGGTTGGGGACGAGAGGGGGGCCTGGGAATTGCCCAGAAGAGATCATCTAACCAAGCGATTGGGTGTACAGATGGTGCGGCTTCAGGTGCCAGTCTCGACATTTGTTCCCAAGCTAGGGGCTCCCAGGTAAGCCCGGGGGTGCAAATAAGCC